AACAGAGAGGTTCAGGAAAATCTGTGTCCACAATCAGCGAAGAAGTGTAAAAACTGTTTGAAGGGGAGAAAAGAGGAAAAACTTTGTTAAAAAAACGGAAACATTTTGTAAAACATTTGTCCAATAAGACAAAAAAAAAAGTTCGAAAGAGTCTAAAGTTCCTGTTCACAAACGGTGAAGAAGTGTAAAAATGTTCAAAAAGGGAAAAACAGGAAAAACTGTTAAAAAATAGCAAAAACCTGCCAGGAGGAGAGGAGGACGGCAGCACAAAGGAACCTGGATATAAGAAAGTATTTTTCAAAGAAACCTGTAAGTCACTTAAAGTCAAGTTCACTCATAAAATGTGTCCGTCATAATAACGTTACAGGCTATGCTAGGCTTTGGCTCACGTCAGTCTAAAATTGTATCTTACCAACGTTTTTTGGAAACTAACTGCACAACATGCAGCACTATTAGTTCTCTCAGTCTCAGAGTAACATTTCTAATTTTGATTGAAACTGTCAGAGAAAACGGCAGCCTCGAGCAAGCCAGGATATTAGTTTAAAGAGGCTGTTAAAATTATACGTCTAACGTTAAAATGTTTGTCACACAATAATTTCATCCTAATGGCACTGACATATTCATAGGGTTAATTTTTTGACATAAAATATCATGAGGTAGTCATGAGTTTGCAAATATTCCACCTTGTAGTGCAGTTTGCACTACAATTGTTAGGCTGCTGATGTAAATTGATTGATTAGTGTAGATTTGACAAATAATCTGAATTGACATGTCTCACTTTTTATATGGCACGAATCAATGTGTTATTTTATTTTGTCAAGAGGCAATATGTCCTAGTGCAGTCAGAGGGGGAAATCCGGGGCCAAAGATGAGGCACATCAAGCACATAATAATAATTTTGTGGTAATCTTAGATGAGTAGTTTTATGGACAAAAACCACCAGGTCATTCAGTGTTCCCTTAGTGCTAATGTGTAAGAGAAGATGGTGTACTATAACTGAAGTACTCTTGTTAAGATAAGATAAGATAACCTTTATTAGTCCCACACGTGGGAAATTTATTTTGTCACAGCAGAAAGTGGACAGTGCAAAGTTATATAGCAAAAATTTGAATACAATAAGAATAATATACTGTACACAACTGTACAGAATAGAATAGAATAGAATAAAATAGTAGAATAAAATAGAATAAAATATACATTAAGATAAAAATAGAATACAAATGTTATATACAACTGAGTAAAAATACAACTTACAAAAATACTCAGGAAAGAGTATTGCACTCAGTCTTATTGCACATGTGTGGGTTTGTGTGTGATCAGCTGCAAAAGTCTTTGTTGTGGAGTCTGACAGCAGTGGGGAGGAAAGACCTGCGAAATCGCTCCATCCCACATTTAAGTCCTTAAAGTCATATTCTTTTCTTGTCATGACTGTATTTGAAGCTATTTTTATGTTTGTATGATACCTGATTTACATGGAATATGGCTGAAGTAAACTAAAGTCTAAAATACTTAGTCATTTGTTTAATAGTAATTTAACATTATATAATTCACATATAAAACTATGAATTGTAATTTTAAATGGTTTAATAGCATGTAGAATAGCATATGTAGGCAAGTGTATTTCTTCTTTTTTATCAAGAAGCAAAGACAAAAAGGAAAAAAAAAGAAACAGGGCGGAGTTCAGTGGCTGAATCACCCGTCCCCACCAATGCCAAAACCAAATCTACGCACTTGCGCTGACAGATCATTTTTTTCTTTCTATCGGGTTTGTTTTTCTTTACAAGAAGCGATCAAATTATTGGTGGGGACAATTCAATAATCGCTGGATATTGGTGGGGACATGTCCCTTCCGTCCATGCCAAATCTACACCCTTGATCTGTTGGCTGTTTAACAACTACAGAACTGAAAAGAAACTTAGGGTTTAAAGTATAAGAAATCTGCTATTTGTAAGGTAATAGTAATAGTAACAATGTTAAAACAGCCAGCTGATTCACAGATATGAATTGTTTGGAATTCTGAGCAGTAACATATATTTACAGACACAGTTAAAAAAGGCTCATGTAAACTACTTAAATGTATATCTTTCAAATTACAAAAGAACTATGTAAAACCAGTAAAAGATTTAAACAGCACACTCTCTCTATCTGTTTGTGGCTGTATAAACATCCTCTTATTCATGCCATACTCCGCTAATGTAATATTACTGAGAGAAAGGAAAAAAAAGGACAGATCACATAACTTTAACTTCCATAACTAAGAGATAAATAGGAAAACTTACGAGTGTCTTCAATGATGGCAGCATTACTTTGGTGTGTGATGCTACCTGAATCGCTTCTTCCTCTGCAGTGGTAGATACCTCCTTGTGACACATTAATAGCTTTCTTCCCGTCATATTCTGTCATCGGCTCGTCTTTAGAGCCATATGTGGCAGCTCGGTACCACAAAATGGTCCAGTTGTCAGAGCCCTCCACAAAGCAGCTCAGTGTCACGTTGCCCCCTAGTGGTATCTCATACGTCATTGGTCTCAGTTGTTCTCAGGCAGTGGGTCTTTCAAAAAGGTACTTCGCTTTTCCAGTAGGATTTAGAGAAAAGCAGAAAGAGAGAGAGAGATTTGTTTTAAAAGCTGTTGTTTCAGTTATTTCATCTTCACAACAAAAGCAAGAGAGTTTAAAGCGTTTAAAGGTCTAGGACCTCAATAAACTGAATATGAGCTGTTTACATAAAAATATCTATTTAGGAGATAAAAAATAATCTTTGGTCTTCATAACATGAGAATAAATGCAAGACAGCTAGCTGGGTCACAGACAAACTGTATAAACTGCATAAAAATTATGTAAGAAACTTAAAGTTATAGTCTTTATTTTGTAAGGTTTTTTTATTCTTTTTAAATTTTCTCATATTTACTCTGCGCCCAATATTAGTTTTTATCTGACAGGAAGAGGTCTTTCCAGAGGCTTTTGGTGTCATTGTCATGATAGCACACTTTAGACAGTGTTAGAAATATC